TGTAGTGTTGGTTCTCGCAGAGATTAAAGGTAGATGCTATGTGTTGTGAATCATGATATAATGTTGTCTTACTTGTAGAAGTTTAGTTATGTAAACATGATTGTGATTTGAACTTTTCCATGTAGCATTTTTCTTGCACATTATAGCAAAACTATACAAGGCGCTACAGGGAGACTCATTTAGATTATGAATGGTGCCYTGGCTGCAATTACACTGACCAAAAGATAAGAAAAGGAGAAGGGAATGCATGAGAAAAGGATCAACTTCCACAAGGTTATCAACACAGAACCTGACCTACTAGAGAAATGCTGTCATAGTTGCTTTAGTATGCATATTAGAAAAATATCTGGTTGGAAGAGCTTGTAAAACATCCATTATTTGTGGCAAAAGGAGTCTGGCTGATGGGACCCCACAACCTTCAGACAACCATATTGGCAATGGACAGGCCAGGGGTATCGTGACCCATGAGGGGCCCTGCTATGGACACTCCTCTATCAACAAAGACCAAATGCTGAAACTACAGAACAGGGGTCACACGCATGTGACCCCAGGGGCCTAAAAATCATCACTGCTCATGCTCTAAAAAGGCAGATCCTGTAGGAAATATCTATGAAACATGGCTACGTGACAGAGCTCACGTAGCCAGCATGTAGCTGATTAGCTTCAGAGTTTGCCGACCACAGCGAAGTTAATCTAACAGCAGGCATAGAGGCAGTCCCTGCCCTCTTTTCCGATAGGGTTCTTATCGGACCCCCCCCCCCAGCTGATGCAATACCTCTTGGTGAGTTGCAACATACCTCCCTTATAAGGATATGTTTTAAAAGTTGACCAATAAGAAGTGTATTCTTAGAATATTCATGATGTTCATTAAAGTGGTTATAAAATGCGTGTTCAGTGATAATAAAGTTGAGTTCTAGCGGATCATTCCTGGTGGTCAGTGTGCTGGTTCTCCCAACGCTTCCCATAGGATCCTTGTTATACAGTTCTGGGAAAAGTTTGAATATGCATAAATATCTATGAATAGGCATTAGGCTGATGCAATACGAAATATATTTAAAGATGTCTCCTGTCAATAGCAGGTGTGCCTCTGGCAGATCACCAAGCACCCAACATTGTGTCCTTTTGCTTTTATGTACCCTACTGTCATTTATTAAAACATTTTAAATTTTAACAAGAAAGTGAATCTCATTTTTCACACGTACATTTCCAATCTGTTTTTTTTTCTTTCCTTCCCCGAGCTGCGTAGACTCTTCTCCTTCCTTGAGATGGGAGCTGGCACCATCTTTCTCCTTTTCTCCTCATCGTGTGTCAGGCAGGATAAGGTTCTAAAGTTTTATCTCTAACAGTTATTAATTTCTTTTTTCCCTGTGTCCCTGTGGGCACCTTGTTTGTTAAATAAATGGTTTTTTTCTTTACTTTCACCCAAACATCTATTTCTTATTAGAAAGAATAGCCAAACTCCTCGTTTTAGAAGAAACTTTTGTTCCAGAGTGTTTTTCTCCAAAAATTGTCTCAAACCGAGACATTGAGCTGCACAGAAGTGTATCTAAGGAAGTGTAATTAAAAATAAGTGATTTAATAAAGTTTTAATGTGGAGACCAAAAGCCGGCATTGCGGCCTTGCAGGTTCTGAACCTGAAATTCAACCAATAATAGTGTACCCCTGAGATCTGGAAAAACAAAAGAGAGTCTGGAAGTCTGGATGGAGGAAGATGAGACAGAGAAGGACGTTACCAAAGCAACGTGAGTGAGCTGCCTTGACTGTCTTTGGGAAAAGGAAAGTGGAATGTTGAAGAAGAGTGACCCTTAGATAGGGCAGATGCCAAAGACAGAGCAAAATTAAGGACATCAAAGCTTTTGCAACACACCATTCATATGCTGATGAGTAGAGAAGGGGATGCTAATTAGCCAATAAATAGTTGCCATTTATGCGGAAGACTTAGTATACACCTGTTGCTCAATAGATAAAAGGGGCTCAGCCCCATAATAAAGTAGTAGGTCTGTGTCTGTCTGTGTCTGTATCTTTTGCTCCTTATTTGTGTGCTGTTGTCCGTCTCTACTGCAACATTTTAATAAAGATTTGCTTGTTCCCTTGTTGGAAAATATACCAGTTACAATTTTTTATATATAACTTTAGTCAAAGATCTTGTTCACCTTTGCCCCGGGGAAACAGTGTTGAAGTGTCTTTTCAGGGCATTGTTCCACCATGTGAGGCCTGATGAGGTTAACATCTCAACAGACCAAGAATAGCACAAAAGACAAGGACCACCAAGGACTATCAAAGACCATTAATGGAACATCAACTCCAAACCTATCCCCTGGCATTGGTCGGAGGCACCTGGACTGGGAAAAGAGGTAAGAAGCAGGACCTAATTAGCATCAGAGGGAAAGAAATCCAGATCCAATAGGAACCCAAATACTAAAAACTATGCAACTTTAACCAATGAACATTAAACCAATAAAGTTCTATGGGTTTTGCTTTGTTATGAATAAGTTTTGTAGAGTTTGGCTTTCACAGTAATGTATAATTGAATGTTAGATTTGTGATAATGTTTTTTTGTAAATATTGGTTTGGATAGTACTTAAGTTATTGAGAGGGTTGATTTTGAGGGAGGTCAGTCTTGCATTTCAGTAAGGGGAAAAATTACATGAAAGTTTAGTTTCTGGAAGGCTGCAGCCAACGAGGACGCTGACAGCCGCAGCAATACCTCGGCCAATCAGAACACCGGCAGACACAGCTCCAGCCAATGAGAACACTGACAGAGACAGCAACCGCTTCAGCCAATCAGAACACCGGCAGACACAGCTCCAGCCAATGAGAACACTGACAGAGACAGCAACCACCTCGGCCAATCAGAACACCAGACACAGCAAGGTTCGGACCAATGGAAACACGAGTTAACATAGTCATAAGGAGTGCGCCTGCGCCAGGGAGTGGCTGTGAAAATGCATATGTATTTAACTGTGAAAAGTCAAATACATGTGCATATGGCAGGAGGGGTATAAAAAGTGGTGCCCACTGCACCCCCGGGAGTTTTGGCAAGCAACCAAGTGCCCAACCGCCCTGTGTTGCTGTATACTCTTGCTTTGCCGCTCTTTGGGTTCTCAAATAAACTTTCTCTTCTTGGCTCATTCTCACTCAGAGTCTGGGTCATTTATAACAACTGTATAAAGTTTGAGGGGAAAACCTTGTAAAATTCAAGTGTCATGGAATGATTTTCCCTGCACACCAGGGCTGTGTGTAGAAAAAACTATTTCTGTGACATATCCTGGCCAGAATAACATCCTAGCCAGAAAATTAATTAATGCCTTGGCTTTCTAACATTAAAATGTTGTTAGAGAGTTTTTGTTTTTCCCTCAGTTTTGGTGATAACCTCTTTGGCTCCTGACTTTCTTTGGTGTCATTTACTTTGTTTTGCTTGTATTTTATATTGTCTTTGTCTGAGTCAGCTCTCTCCTTCTCCGTCTCCTGCTCCCTCTCCCTCTCCCTCTCCTGCTCCCTCTCCCCCCCACTCTCTGTGCTTTTTACTCTCTCTCTTGCTCATCTTTGTATCCCCCCTGCTCTCTCTCTCTTTTCTCATTTTTTCCCCTTCCCCCCCTTTCTCCTTTTCTTTTACTCTCTTAGCTTTGCCTCTTTTACTCTCTCTTCTTTTGTATCTTTTTGTTTCACTTATTTTCTCTCTTCTTTTTTGTCTTTCTTCTCTCTCTTCATCTTGTACATTCCATCCTGTACTTCTTACACAAAAAAGGAGTAGAGCCTTGCCACCAGCTACAATTCTGTAGTATACCAGGACAGTATTTGGCCATCTTGGCAAGCAGAGGTTCATAGAATCATATAATCTCTGGACTGGAAGGAGCCTTAAGGATCATCTAGTTCCAACACCTCCCTGCCACAGGCAGGGACATCTTCCATTAGACCAGRTTGCTCCAAGCCTCATCCAGCCTTGCCTTGAACACTTCCAGGGATCCTTCTTAACAAAGCTCCTCTGGGCAACCTGTGCCAGTGTCTCACTAGTATCATAGTAAAAAATGTCTTCCTAATAGCTAATGCAAACTAAATCTCTTCAGCTAAAAGCCATCACCCCTTTTCTATCACTACATGACTATCACCCTCTCTAAATCTCTTATGGCCCCATCAGGTGCTGAAAGGCCACAGTAAGATCATCCTGGAGCCTTCTCCAGGCTAAATAACCCAACTCTCTCATCCTGCCTCTAAAGCAGAGGTGTTCCAAACCTCTAATCATCTTCTTGACCTCCTCTGGACTTGTTCCAACAGCYCCATGTGTTGAAGACCCCATAGTTGGACACCCCGCTCTAGGTGGGGTTTCATAAGAGTAGAGTAGAGAGGTAGAATCCCCTCCTTTGATTTGCTGGTCACGCTGCTGGGGATGCAGGCCAGAACAGGGGTGGTTTCTGGGCTACCAGCGAATATGGCTGGCTCATGTCCAGCTTTTTATCCACCAGAACCCTCAAGTATGTCTTGACAGAGATGCTTGCAATCAATTTGTCCTTTCTGTCTGTATTGGTACCATGGGTTGCCCTGCATGTTGTTAAATGCAAGTGTAATGCATTTCTTGTAGTCCTTTCCTTCCTCTCATGTTGTCCCTCAGTGACAAGCTATGTAGTTATACTAAATTTTGATAGATTTTGATGTCTCTTGACATTAAATTATGCATTTAACATTTTAAATGTGTTCCATTTATAGAATGCCAAAACGGCTTCTGACTTCAGACAGGTAACAGTGATGTTTCTAAAAATTACATTAAGACAAACAAGGAGAGTTATTAATTAGAACTCAGAAGCTTTACATTGACAGTAAATTCTGTTGTTAACCAAAAAAAAAAAAAATTCCTTGTATTCTGGAAATCTTTTTCCYGCACATGTGATGCATAGCAAAAAGAGGCACAAAAGCAAAAGAATGTGCTAGCATTGCAYATGTGGACAAACAACTTCCTCTTCATAGGAAGGAGGAAGTGGA